CAAGCGAGCTCGATGGGCCGAATGGCCTCCTCTCGTTTGTATAGTTCTTATGTTCTTATCTGCCAAGGGAGTTCATAATAGTGTTTCTCACCACAGTATATATTCCAATGCTAGCTAATGCTAAATTAGCACTGGCTAAACTGCATGACGCCATAAACGGACTGCAAAACTCTCACCTGCATGGCATGTTTATTATAGCAGGTGACTTCAATCACGCCAACTTTAGCCCTCTGGGGTCTAGGGGTAGGGAACACACTTTCACTGACTAGGGTATGGTCACACATTTCATTCAATATCATAAACTTAATTCATGGCAAATAAATTATTTCTTATATATTTGTTTTGGCATTAAACTCATCTTACTCTTAGTGTACTTTGTAAATATGATTTATGTCAAGTTTGTAATTTGACACCAACGTATAGACATTGCAAAATGCATTTGCAGAAACATAAAAGTACATTGTAAGCAATGGTGGAAGTTTGTTTAGATCCCAGATATCTGATCACCAAAGGCTTGGCTACATGAAGATGACTAAATGGTGTAGTTGCAACATTCAGCTGGATAAATAAATAAGAAAAACCTAACTCATGTCACTATTTCTTGTCTCCTTCCATTGAATATGTACAGGTAGGAGCTCTTATGTGTTTGCATGAGCCATTCACACCTGGCCACATCCCCCCCCCCCCTTTTATGAAGATTTCAGCGAGTTATGAACTGAAATACATGAGAAAGATGCATCCAGAGGAAACAGTACATTGGACTATGTCTACTGCAATTTAGCAAACACTTACAAAGCGTTGCCCAAACCTAACCCAGGCCGATCAGATCACTTGTTCCTGAGTCCAGCATATAGACCCCTCATCACCAGGACAAAGCCCACAGTAGACGGTCAGAATCTTGTCTGAGGGAGCCATAGCTGAACTACAGCAGTGCTTCAACAACACAAACTGGGACCTGTTCATGGAAGAAGCCACTCAGGACAACCACATAGACTTAAGCGCCTTCTCTGTACTAGCATAAATCAACTTCTGTACAATCTTACCATCAGCAAGAGCAAACAGGTTTCCAAACAGGAAACCATGGATAACGAGGGATGTTCACAACCTGTTGAAGGTGCGTAACATGCTTTCTGCATGGGGGACTCAGAAGCTTATAAAACAGCAAGGTTCAATCTGAAGAAAGGCATCAGAGACACAAAGCTCCACTACAAAATGCGAATAGAGGAGCACTTTAACAGCTCAAACTCCCACCGCATATGGGAAGGCATAAAATCCATCACAGACTACAAAGGCAGCAGCAGCTGCATAACTAACACAGTTAACCCATCTCTCCCTGATGAACTGAACGACTTCTTCGCATGGTTCAACAGAGCCAACAATCAACCTACCACTAAGCTACCACTGCACGAAGCATCATTATCTGCACTAACACTGCAACCACACGAGGTGAGAAGGACCCTAAGCCACATCATCCTCAAGAAAAAACCGCTGGCCCAGACGGCGTTCCTGGGTGGGTCCTGAAGCACTGCACAAGACAGCTGGCAGTCGTGCTCACCAGCCTGTTCAACATCGTTCCTTCCTGCCTGAAGACTACCATCATCCCGGTTCCAAAACAGGCAGCGGTCAGATCGACTACCACCCAGTAGCCCTGACCCCCATAATAATGTAATGCTCGGAAAGACTGCTCCTAACTCACATAAAGAAAAACATGCCGCCTTCCCTAGACCAACATTAGTTTGCCGGCAGGGCAAACAGTTCAACATCGGACGCTGTCACACTGGCCCTTCACGCTGCCCTGTCGCATCAACAACAGATAGACATCTATGTACGGATCCTGTTCATTGACTATACTGTAGCTCCACCTTCAATACCATCACCTCAAACAAGCTGACTACCAAACTGATTGACCAGGGACTCAACACACACCTGTGTAATTGGATTCTGGACTTCCTCACAAGCAGACCACAGGCTGTATGGATGGGCAAGCAAACCTCCATTGTCATAACACTAAACACTGGAGTACAACAAGGCTGTGTGCTGAGCCCTCTGCCATACTCACTCTTCATACACGACTGCAAACCCTTCCATGATTCCAACATCGTAATCAAATTCACAGACGACACCACCGTAATAGACCTGATTTCAACAGAGAGGAGGTAGATGCTTACAGAGAGGAGGTAGAGAACTTGGAGAGCCAGGTCAACAATTGCAGCCCTCAACCCAAAGAAAACTAAGGCGCCGATCCTGGATTTCAGAAAGTCGATGTAAAAGGACGACCATCCCATAAATATCGTCGGTGAGAAGGTGGATTCTGCCCAGAATTTCAGATTTCTTGGTGTCAGCTGAGACCTCTCCTTGTCAACAAACACAACAATCATGGCCAAAAAGGCAATCCAGAGGCTTAATTTCTTGAGAAGCCTAAAGAAAGCAGAACTTCCACAACAGCTGATGGTCAGCTTCTACAACTGTGCCATAAAGTCCATCATACCATACTGTAGCACAGTATGGTACACAGGCATCACCTCCGAGAACAAGGCAGCCATCCTGCGCAAAACAGCCCAGAGGATCACTGGCTCACAGCTACATACTCTGGAGGAATTCTTCAGTACCCGCTGTAGCCGCAAAGCCAGGAACATCTGCAATGATCTGACCCACCCTGGACAAAATTTCTTCACACATCTGCTGTCCGGGAAATGCTACAGAGCCCTGAACACTTGCATGGCAAGGCTGCAGAAGAGTTTCTACTCCCAAGCAGTCACACCGCTAAACTCACTGGGCCTGCCACCCCCCCTACTCACAGCAACACCATACTGAACTGTACTGTGACTTATCCACACCACAAGCATCAGGCATTACACATGCACCTCAACTGTTTTGGGACCCACCCATGTTTACTGTATGATACCACATACTGTACCACTATCTTACTTATCTCTGTATCTCAACCATATACCATGTAATCCATTATACCATGCAATATCGCTGTTCTTGATCATTTTCTGCACTCTCAACTGAGGTTTTCCCAAGCACAATATCTCACAGTACAATATATTTATTTCATGTGCAACTGATCATGTGCAATATTCCACCTATATTTTTATATTTTATTCTGTGTATTGTATTGTCATGTTACTTATTTCATTTTTTCCCCTCCTTAAACCATCTTTACTGAGGCTTCTGAAGAAGGAACACAAGGACCAGCAACAACAAAAAGAACTACTGAGCTTCATGTCAAAATTCCTGATTGTGTACATGGTCCACTCATGATAGCAGGTTTCTTGCAGTGTCACGCCTAATATGCTCCCCCAAGAAAAAACTGGGCATTCAGATACGAACGATAAGCAAACAAGAGTATATTTTTTCTGGGAATCGATGGTTTACAATGGATTTTAGGTTCTGGATCTTTTGCTATTGGGGCCTGGAAATAAAAAAGAGGTTGTTTTGTCTGATCAAAGTAAACCATGGGGGAAAGCACGAAAGATACAGATGTAGTAACTTTATTTAGGTAAATACTTAGCAGCTCTGTGTAAAATCTATGAAATATAAATGCTCCCTCTCAAACTGCAGGTTTTTTATGCTAAAGAAGGCTGAGGATAATTACAAGATGTTCCTACTGTTCCACTTTGGCAAGAAAGTAAAACACTATTTTATGAGGCACTATAAGGTTTATATACAGTATGTATTCTTTTTATTTGTACCAAGATCAGCAAGGCACAGATGGTCTAGTGAGATGTTCTCATGAAAGCAAAGGATTAAAAATGGTCTTACTCTCCATAATGACGCGCCGGTCCGTCCAATCATCATTGATGATCTGAATGTTCCCAAAGTGCACATCACTGAAGAAGATGCGATTTGTTCCCAGTGGTTCTTGTCGGTGGTCGAAGGCCAGGGCAATAACGTTCTTGAAGTAGGCTGGGTTCTCATAGGCCACAACCGGCTGGTTGAGATTGCTCTCATCCGTGAGGTGGATGCTCTTTAGGATGGTGCGCTCCGAGTACAGGAGGTAGTCATCGTACCTGCGGCAGGACATGTCATCCTCTGCCAGGTAGCCGTGAGCACATGCACAGGTCTTCCGCCCATTGCCCAGATAGTAGCAGAGCTGCTGGCAACCACCATTTCTCCTGGCACAGGGGTTTGTGCCTAAACAAGAGGACAATCTGTTAACCTCTAGTAGAGCATAAGCAGGTGTTGCATTTAAAAGGGAAAACGTCTGACTAGCATCGAGCAGGTTTTGTGTTTAAAGGGGAAGATGTTCAGCTAGCATCAAACTGGTTTTGTGTTTAAAGAGAAAGATGTGCAGCTAGCACTGAGCGGTAACTCAACCTTTCTCATGGCCCCGGCTGAACACCTTCACGTCCTTCAGGCCAATTCCCAAGCCACTTCTCATGGTCAGGGCCTCCGTGGCATTGCTCTTGAAGCCCCTCCGGATGGAGCCGTTGGCATGTGCCCTGGCGTGGGCCCACAGGGAAGGAGTGACGAAGGGGAAAGAGCAAGATGTCAGACAGTACAGACCCATGGTCTTCCAAGCAATGACAATGTAAACATCAGGAAAATGACAAGAGAGGTTTCCCCTGACAGATGGAGAACATGAACCTTCCTGGATATAGTAAAAAGGGTGGGAGTAACACAAAGGAGCAGGTATTTTCCCGACATATTACACGGCATCCCTAGGATTCTCAGCAGTGACCTTGCGAGGAAACGACTAATCCACTGAAGGCAAGGTGGCTGGTCTTTGCCAAACAATCGGGAGAACGGTAACATTTATGGAAAAATAAATTACCTGTCAGACCAGTAGATGTAAGCGCCGAAGATGGTGACGGAGAACATATCCAAGCCACTGGATGACAAAACGATCTCACGGCTCTGCCCGTTCTCAAGGTTGATCCTTTCTATCTTGTCGGTGCGAGCGTCACACCAGTATAACTTATTTTCCTGGAATGCAATTCACAAACATCAGCAGGAACTGTTCCAGTTATGGAGACATTTTTCTCACCTCGCCCACCCCCAATTAAAAGCCATTATGAGGTACACAACGGAGCGGGAAAAGACTTATGCGGACGCTCCAAGTGCCGGCACTGACCTCGTAGTCGATGGAGATTCCATTGGGCCAGGCGATGCCAGAGTTCACCAGCATGACTTGGTCAGACCCATCTAGATGTGCCCTGCCGATGCATGGGGTTTGACCCCATTCTGTCCAGAACATGTACCTGCATAGGGACACGGTGACACAGCAGGGTGGCGATGAGAATGAAACAGGAATGTGGTAGCACAGCGGTGCAGAGCACTCCAGGACATTGTTAACCTTCCAGCAAAGACAGGTAGATATGTCCAGTTGTACATTTTCACCCATTGTGGGAGTAGGGATACACTGAGGGAATATGGCTTATGTGCACTTAGGGATGGTGATGCGACTGCAGTCTGTACTTCTGATTGGCTTCCTGCTATTTCCCCGAATTATGTGTAAATTGCAGTGTTCTGTGCTTCCTGCCCCCGGTAAACCAGACCCTGCTTGACGTCTGACCTAAAAGTGCTGCATTTTGTTCATTCACAACAAGCCCCCTACCCCCCACAGCATTTTTTTCTTTGCTCTCCTCCCAAAAGAGCTGGTTCTTTGTTGTTACGGTTATGTTCCCTCTCTCTGTCCTCAGCTTGCAGCAAACTCGTCCTTCCCCGTCCAACACCTGAGTCACGTGAAGGTGTTCAGAATACTCTAGAAATATATTACTTTCTCACTCAGACTTTTAAATCAGTCCTCCCTGGATCAGAGGACTTTCCTTTTGTCATCAGTCCAGAAAATGACACGCTGGGAAAGCTGAAAAGCCGGGAGACAGACAAGCCTGAAAGTGGTCGCTAAAGAAGGGCATGTCATCACGTGTACAATCCTGTGTCCAAAGAAGTTGGGATGCTGTGCAAAATGTAAACAAAAACAGAATGTAATGATTTGCAAAACATATAAACCCATGTGTAATGGGCAACAGAACAAAGACAACATATCAAATGTTGAAACTGGGAAATTTTATTATTTTATGACAAATATATGCTCAATTTGACTTTGATGCCAGCTACACGTTCCAAAAAAGCTGGGATAGGACAACAAAAGACGGGAAAAGTTGTGTAATGCTAAATCAAAACTCTTGTAACTAACTAGGTTAATTGGTAACAGGTCTGTGAGATGACCAGGTATAAAAAGAGCCACCCAGAAGGCAAAGTCTCTATGTAGTGAAGATGGGGAGAGGTCCACCACTCTGTGAAAGACTGTGTGGGTAACTAGAACAATAATTTAAAAATAATGTTCTTCAATGTAATAGTGCAAAGAATTTGGGAATTTCATCATCTATGGTACATAATATCGTTAAAAGATTTAGAGAATCTGGAGAAATCCCTGTACGCAAGGGACAAGGCCAAAAACCTATATTGGGTAGCTGTGATCTTCGGGTCCTCAGGCTGCACTGCATTAAAAACACTTCTGATAATCATTGTCTGTGATCACAGTTCATTGCTGCATCCACAAATGCAGGATGTAACTCTACCATGCAAAGAAGAAACCACATCTAAACATGATCCAGAAACACTGCCGACTTCTCTGGACCCAAGCTCATTTAAGATGGACTGAGGCAAAATGGAAGAGGTGATGCAACACAGGGGTAAACATGCCCCTGTCCCAACTTTTTTGAAACATGTTGCTGGCATCAAATTCAAACTGATATATACTTGTCATAAAACAGTAAAATTTTCTTTCGCATTTGATATGTTGTCTTTGTTCTATTTTCAATTAAATATGGGTTTATGTGATTTGTTAATCATTGCATTCTGTTTTTATTTATATTATACACAGCGTCCCACCTTTTTTGGAAATAGGGTTGTGCCACAACACGAACACGCTCCCTCACGAGTGGAAGGCAGCCTCTAAACACTAGACCCCTCCCCTCCCTGTTTTGTCACGTCTGACATGGCGGATCCAACGCACGCCTACTGAGCGGCATATCGATTTCTCGCTCACAGATGACAGACGGTTATGAGGCGGTGCACTTAGCATACGGACCCTATCGAAACATGGATCCACGTGCCCGCCAGTGGCATTCATGACATTACCCCACTATCTCGCACGCTCAGCACTGATTCATCTCATTTCAGACTGCCGTCCGTTCATCTCAGTCCCAGCGGCTGGCTGAGAGCTGACGGTATTCCGCTCTGTACCTGACTCCCTACATTATTCCTGGGGTGTGAATGTAAGAAGTGACTGCACTGGGTTGGAATAAAGCCAAACCTGGCTGGATGGGAAGAGGGGCACTGTGATGCAGAAATGTACCCTTGTGAAAGAAGATTTACCACACTGTTGTGTTACTCAGTGGTCAACCATCAGACGACACACTCGGCCACCTAGGCCGTCTTCTTCTGGGGGAGGTGCTGACTTAGCCAGCTGATTTCACTTGGTCTCAGACAGAGGGTGCATCGAGTGAAGCTTGCCTACGGCAGTACATGGGCTTACAACTGGTAATGGTGCTACTGGATACTGAGCCATATGTGAACCCCATCCATGGCGGCTTTGTGGTAATCCTCCTCAGATCCAAGGAGCGTGGCAGCACCACGTATTCACATTCCTTACTCCGCGTGCCGCGGGACGCTTCCCTTCTGCCTCAGTGAGATTTATCTTCCGGTCATGCTGACACCTCTGATCGCATCTGAAATAAAAGGCTATTGCTACAGAAAATCCTGGGCAGTGAATCACTCCTTTAATTACCCCACAGCCTTGGTTTGGGGGCTTGGCGCCGTTTCTAAGGCAGGGGATTCAGTGCAGATCGGGATACTCCCGTAGGAGTGTCTCAGGGGTGCTGGCAGAACCAGGCAGGGTCCTTATTACTCAGTGGGGATGAGCTGCTCTTTTTTATCGGAAGTGTTATTCCTGAGGACGCTGGCATTTAGGGTAGGCAATTCATTAATCATGTGATCAGCAGCGTCTGGAGTCTGCTTGTTGAAGTACCCCATGCTTCCAATTGCACTGACTGGCCCAGGAGGGGCATTCCACAGCGACCCGGCAGACGGATGTGGGGAGGGGGGTCAGAGTGTGGAGGGTCAAGCTGATCATGCAGAGTCGCAGGTCCTGCTGCCTGGCTAGCAGGCAGACTGGGAGATAGCATACTGTACCCTTTCACTGGATGCACGGCGATGGCTCGCGGCTGGTCCAGCCCCTGGGAGATCACCACAGACCGGAACGCGCCATTCAGCCGGGCCATCTCGATCAGGTTGAAGCCATGGTCTGTCCAGTAAATGTTCCCTGTGGAAAATTGCCGACCGACAGGCAGACAGACAGAGACAGACAGACACACATACACACACACACATACACACACACAGAGGCCATATGATATACAGAAAATCACATTGATTGAATAATTTAAATTTATTTGTGACAAACGTTTATGCATAAATGGTTTATTCAAATTGTTCGTTCAGATTCATTTACATATTTAGCGGACATAACTGTCCAAAGCTACACACAGGGTGGAAAGGTTGGGGTCAGCGAGCACCCAGCATCCCTGAAACCGCTGGGGTTAAGGGCCTTGCTCAAGTGGACAGTGGTGACATGATTATTTGAACCCATTACCTTCTGGACATGGGCACATAGTAACACCTTGGTAATATCTATGGTACTCGGCCTGTGGTTTGGGTGCACTCACCGGCGACCCAGTCCACGGCGATGCCCTCCACCCTGCCGATGCCACTGGTGACTATGTCCTCCCTCCACGTCTGGTCCCTCTTCACCCTTGAAATGCGGTTTAGGCCCATGTCCGTCCAGTAGATTGTGTCATTTCCTGCACAGTCACATGGCAAAGTCAGATGACCCTAATCTAAAATGGATCCCCCCTCAATTGTCATCAATGCAGATACAGGAAATGCGATGGTGGTGAACAGAATGGCTCGGTCACAAACACTCTCAGATGTCTCAGACATCTCTGAGAATGCAAGTGATGGCTATGGAAACCCATCACTGTTCCGTCTGCTGAGATGTGAGAGGCATGTTTACGGGAGTGCGGTGAGGCGTGAGTGTTTTCCTGAGGCCTGCTTCTCCACATCAAAGCAGGAGCTGAGAGACCACCTTGCTGTGATGGAGTGAGGCTGAAATGTGTTTCAAGTGAGAGAAAGTGAACAGCCCATAATTCATGATGCTTCTCCACAAAGTCATCACCCAGACACCCACCCAGGCATGCATTTTTAATAACCGGTCATTCTTGCTGGGTGACCAGACAACTTCAAACTGTGGGTGTAAATCTCTCTGAGCAGTGAGTCATGTGACAGGGGCACATTATTTTGTTTCTGGGGGCACACTCAAAAAGTCAGGGGGCCAACCCAGTGTACTGGTTTGACTGGTGGTCATGTGACAGCTCGGGGGTCGTATGTGAATCCAGTCGCTGAGGTTCTGCAGATGGCCAGTGTGAATGCTCAGCTCAGGGGGGGCATATCTTTCGATTTATACATGGACAGACCTTCACAGGCCATAGACAACATCTGCACCATCATCCTCCAAGTAAAGTGATCCTTCACAGTCCAGCTGATTTTATTTGCAATTAAAATGAAGACTTTTCAATCAATTGTTTAATCAAGCACTTGTCTCCCTGGGCGTCTTAAATACACAATTAGTTTATTATTAATTATTTTCCTTCCTGTTTATTTGGCCTGCTTCCGTGTCAGCTTATTCACACTCTTGACAAGCAACTTTTCAGTAACAGCACCCCCCAGGGCCAGCAACAGGCATCCAGGGCAGACATCTTCATCTTGCTGATACCTCACCTTGATAGTAATGCTGCATATTATTATATTTCACTTCAAAGCCTTGGCATCACAGTTTCATAAATGTGACTTTGATAAGGACAACAACCCAACTGTGTAACAATCCGTATATCAACAAAACGTCCTACAAAAACCCTTGAGAACACTGAAGTCATAGAAGGTTTTGAAATAGTACTCCATGGAAGTCGCCATGAAAAAATGCATAGAACATGTGTGATGTAAAAAGGAGAAGACGTGGGGCCTGGGGTGTATCCCTGATGTGTTGACCACCTCAAGGCCACCTCGAGCCCCCGTTCCCAAAGAGGTCCTGCTCAGCCAGTCAGATTTTGGGGTGAAGCTGGATTATTATCAGTGCGGACACCGCGTTCACCGCCAGCTGCTTCATGCTTCCGTAGGCAGAAGCGGGTAAATGAGGTGGAACTGCAGTGTTATTTATGGCCAAACCCAGCCGTAAATCTCTGCATCACGGCGAAATATTGTTTTGCACCACAGTGATGAAACAGCCGTGCCAGGGATCCAGGTTTCTGATGTAAATCACACAGGAACACGGAGGACAAGCCAAAGTTTATGCATTACTGTCCACAACAGCTGCACAGCATATCTTACATAACAATATAATAACCTGTATGGGGGATTCTTTTTTCATTTTCATTTTTTCCCCAAGATCCTCAGCCACCTCACTGTCAGAACCAGCATTTATCTAAATTTTTTTATTTAAAAGTCTGGAAACTTACCCGCATGGAAATCCACCCCCACGGGAAACAAGGTGCCAGTGATTGGCATCAGCACATCTGTGTTATCACTGGGATCCAAAGAGATCCCCCGGATCCCCTCTTGGATGGAGTACATTAGGAAGGATCCGATTCCTTTCACAAGATTACCAGAAGAGGCAGCACACAGTGAGTAAACACCGAGACACTCAAACTCTCAAAAACAGTTCTAATATGATGAGTTTATGAACTGTGGTTAAAAATATCATATAGCGCATATGACAGCTGTACGAGGTACAAATATCGGGTTGCTCGATAAGTCGATGTAGTCGATTATGTCAATGCTGAAAATGTGTCAACCTCAATATTTAAATTAATGGATCGTTTTTAAAAATTATGTTAATAAAATGACTTCTAAAATGACTGTGATTTCTAAAATGCTTTAATTAGTTATATCAAATGTTTTCCTTCAATATCATTACGTAATTATGGGAGTAGTTTAGATTATCACAAGAAAAAAGGTGGCTTGTACTCTGTGCAAGGTTTCAAAAGCACCACAGTGGCGCTGGTGCTGTGCATGAGCACCTGAAGAGAGGTATTCTGGACCGGCAGAATCGGTGAAACCATTTAAGTGTTGTCTGTTCATGTTTATTAAATTACCATTAGTATGTAGAGCTTTTTAATTTCTTCTGTCCTTGTAGCTGCTGAATACACTCATTATTAAAACCAAAACGTTGTCTGCCTGCTAACTTAGAATTTCCATTGAATAAATGTTTGAGAAAATGTTTAGACTAGAATCTGGCCTTATTCTATCTTGATTGACTGTGTCAGTGTGTGTATTCATGTGCAGTGGCCTTGTTGGGACGAACGTTATTATTGTAAGCTAAAAATGAAACGAACATTAAATCAAAAAATAATAATTCAGGAACTGAAAGAAAAATGAATGCTGTATTTACCAAAAAAACAGTGGGCTTGAAACTGCAGTAAGTACTGCCGAACGAGCAACATCTTTTTACTTTTTAACCACAATATCTCCTCTTTTTTAAAAAGATGTTGTGGTTGCTGAGCTGACCCTTTCTTGACTTTTATTGCTTATTGTTTCCATGGTATAACAAAACGCCAGTGGCATGCTTCGCTAACCGAATTTAATAAGCATAAGAATACGCTGAATTTAAACAGATACCAACTTTTGGGCATCACAATACGCCCATATAGTGTAGAAAAGCAAGTGTCTTACCTAAAGCCCTGCAATGACATACAGTTTGTTTTGCTCAAAATATAATTAACTTAAATGAAATGGTCAATTTGATTTTCTGGAGGGAAATTAATCATTTACATCAATTAGTAAAATAGTCGACAGATTAACTGACAGAAAAAGTCATTAGTGGCAGCCGTATACCACTGTCATTATTATTCTATGAGCCTTCATTCATTTGTGTTTATTTAGAATCTTTTAGTGAGCTGGATGGAATCAGACAGAAGTCTGGGGAAGGTGTAGCACGCACCTTCACAGGAGACACGGTCACTGCGCAAACTGTAGCCCACGGTGCAAGAGCAGCTCCTGGTCACCTCCGAGGTGGGGAGGCAGAGCTGGGAGCACCCCCCGTTGTTCACCTGACAGGGGCTCCTCCCTGAAGGAGATGCAGTGTCACATATGGTTCTCAAGTAAGGGATCCAGCTTGAGTGTCTGGTAACATCATCCAGTTCGCCCATGATACCTTTATCCAAAGCAGATTTCAGCCAATTTACCCAACATTCCTCCCCGGCGGGATGATTCGGTGGAGAGGTGTCTTATTAAGTGGCACTACAGTAGCATGACGCCCTCTTTATCATGCACTAACAGGTCAACTTCATTGCCATTTAATTCTGTTTATCGTTTTCTACCAGTAGCTAGTTTTTAATGTGACAAAGTCACTGTTGATTTTTGTGACTGGGCAGTGCTGTTATTACATCATTCACTACATCACCGCTACTTTTAGTGTTTGCCACGCAAGAAACCCACTTTAATACCAATCTCACTTTAACATCAGTCTAATTAAACCAGTGGTTTAGTTTAATTCTACCCAGTTAAGAAAGAATCACCACCTAATTAATAACTTTAAAAATGGCAAGAATAATGAGCGGCAAACATTTACTTTAGTTTTTCTATCTTTTTTTTACAAGTTGATGACAGATGTACAAATTATCCTGTGGGTTTCTTTAAATACTGTCAACTCCTGTCAGAGGGAACAACTTCCTACAAAGACTGAGAACAAGATGAATAACTGATGTGGCCCCTCCTGGGATTCAGCTATTTAAACGATTCTGCAAAGATTTGAAGGGGTCCTTTTAATTAAATTTAAGTCAGTTTTAATATGTTATAAAGTAAAAGGTAGGGGGTCCTCATTGCTGCGTGACTCCGTGCCTTCAGGGTAGCCACTAATTAAATACTAAATGATAAAAACGTATTCGTTCGTGCCTTTCAGCTCATTACAACAAATCTAGAACACACCAGAAAAAAAAAGTTTCACTCATAATTGATCACGTATGTAGAAGGTCCCGTCAGGGCAGAGACAGGCCCCAGGGACACCCAGGGAGTGGCGCCATCTCATGGCGCTGATTATTACTGCCAGCATGCCAGCATCACGGGGAATTAACGTAGACGCAATGGCCAGCTCAGATGCCCGCCATCCATGGCCATGCTGCGTCAGAGTAATGAGACGTGTGCAGCCCTCCTACTCGCTCCTTGTCAGAGAGATAAATGAAGTGGCTAATTGGTCCAGGGAAGTTTGAAGGGCTCCGGAAAAGATTTACCTTAAAGACGCCTTAATTGACATTTTTTATACTAATGGGACGCTTAGGATATCCACGGCAATGCTGTTAATGGACCTGTCAGGGATATAGATGTTCCTGCCCGAAACCTGCGCGATGGAGAGGGGGCTCTCGACTGTAGTCAAGCAGGGCGTCACCCTTATGTGGATCATGGGGCTTTTAGCTCATGCCGCGGAGACGAGTGAAGGGAAAGCATCCTGCCCCTTAGCCTGGTACACACTTTCTCATACGCAGATTTAAAGGAGACGGCGGGATTTTCAATCAGCATGAAAAGGGGCCAGATTCATCATCAAGGTAAACGTTATCGATCAGATGCCATTGGTGAACTGTGCCCCTTTTAAGAAGGGAACGCCCCAAACCTTTCTGATTAAGTGGCCCCGAGGATAGCTTTGTGTTTTACATCCATTCATGCCATTTAGCTTTCCGTGTAAAAGTGTTGGGTGATAGAATTCAGCATCGGAGTCACCATTAAACTGCAAGAGAGGAATGTGGCGTGTGGCTCTGTGGGTTAGGATGCTGTGTCTGTGATTGAAAGGTTGATGGCTCAAATCCCAGAGTCAGCAGAGTAATTTCACTGTTGGCCCCGAAGTAAGGCCCTTAACCCCCAATTGCTCCAAGGACTGACTCTAATCTATGTACATTGCTTTGGATAAAAGCATTTGATAAATAAATATAATGTAGGTATTATGAATGCTATGGGAGGAGACACTAGGAATGGTGGCTGGGCCCCATTGCACAGGTTCTTTGGTGCTCAGCCACAGGTGCCATGGCTGCCCTCACCTCTCTGCCCGTCCCTGTCGTAGACCTTCATGTGCACCACGCCGCTCGTCTTGTTCCTTAGCACCACCGCGTTCCGTCCATCCCGCTTGGTGACGGTGCCCAGCTGGCCAGAGCTGTCATCCGCCCACCACAGCTTCCCACCTGAAATGAACACCAGGTGCTGGTCTGAGTCTTCTTCCAAGGAGTCTGCTCTTGCTCCCACGAAGGAGGCCAAGAAACCTCCGGAGATGGTTCAGGTCAGAGAGGTCAGTTTCAGCCCTGGCTTATCCCACAGAGAAGCCACAGAAAGCCAACAGCAGTGCTCCTCAAGCAGGTCCTGCGACACTCAAAGGCTACTTCTCTATGCACAGAGAGACACATTTACCAGGGAACTGAGGCATCATGCCTGTATTTCCCTCCTGCAAATGAGCAGTTTCTATAGCCTCTGCTGTTTCGGCTTATGGATCTTCCCTCACCCTTATGACTTCTACACCCATGTTGCGTTAACTGGTTACGTGCCTGTGATGTTTCTCATTTTGCTATAATTTTGCAAATCCCTTATAGCAGCACTATGCTTGCATGCAACGCTGCTGCTAGGTGTCCCCTCAAGCGTCGCGGTCACAAATGTGCTGGGAAGGGCGCTATATAAGCGTAGCGCTTTATGAAGTGAACAGAACCAATCGATGTGCTTTATAGTTCACAAGCCTGGCAGTCGACCGATGGCAGTCCTGAAAGACCTGGACTGTTGATGCTGATCTAGCTGGGACCTGGAGACCAATCATCACCATGGACTGGGCTGGGTTGGTGAGAAAATGGAGGGTGAGAGTAGAGGATAAGAGCACGGTGTGGCCTGTCCCAGGGGACTGGGTCATGCGGCCGAATCAGGGAAGTGTGACACATCCTCCCATCCAATCATACGTGAGTGCCACAAGGCAACTGGGGGAAGACATCGCTCTAGTCATCACAAAACCTCTGGAGCACAACCAATCTCACGCTGTCACTGCAACCTGGGATATTATCCCCCCTTCCATGAATGGATTACGGGGCAGCAAGAGAAAATGTACAGGCTCTAGGGTTTGTATGCAGCTTCCCGCGTGCAGGGACTCTCCGGCTGGGCAGCAATCCGTTGCAGATTTTAATAAAGACCTGAGGACATGTACAGCAGTGGGACTAATAAAACGCCTGGTGCCTCAGAAAAACTAGAATTGGCAAATGCACATTGATAGCAAGGAAATGTGGGGATGTGGGGAGCACACCCAGTGATATCGAAAGCATGCCTAGCCTGTTACAGACATAGCTACTCATTAATTCAGTATTCTACAGTTTAATTGCTACATTAAACCAGTATACTTTACATAAACATTAAACATTCAACTCTGGCAGCCTTAATGTCAATAATTTATGTCGCCTTGTTCTCATTTCATGTCAGCGCTGACCAATCCTCCGGTCAAATAAGCAGAGTACCTACAAGCGATTAGTCATTAGTGCTCATAAGACACTGTTTGCTGCATTTACCAGGAGCTTTGTCCATCATCTCAAACTTTTCCACTGTAACAGGGAAATAGAGTTAATGCCACAGAATCAATACACAACCGGAAAAGTTAATATGATGACCTGATAAGATCTGGACATCTGTCTTACGTATATTTTTGCAATTTGAGTGGGTGATTTTTCACTCATCATATGAAGTTGATATGCTAATATGTCTCTAATATATCTCTCAGCGTGGTGCCCTTTATACCGAAACACATTGAAGTCTGTAAAATTGGACAATGGAAGACACAAAAAAAAGGAAAAAAAACTGATTTTAAAAAGAAAAATCCTGCAGAATTTGCTGGAAAGTGAAAAGGCCTTTTGTCTTTCCATAATGAGAAACCTCACATTCTGACATCAGTGAAATTGCTGTGAATCAGCCTGACAATCCATGGGATTGTCTCCCAGCTGTTTCTCGGCCATATCTGGCCTTTTATTAATTTACAGTTATAGAAAATGATGGATGGTGCTGATTGCTATGGAGGCCGTCCATCAGAAATGATTTTCGCCTCAGCCCCTGACCCGGGTGGAGAGTAGTTCACATCCCTTTTACCAATAGGACCCCTGACCCTCTCTCTATCCCCGTCAGCCTCATTACTGCGGAGCAAAGCAAAATAAATCATACAGATCATTTGAAAAAGGCAAACTGTGTACATAGTGTTTCTTATTCTCAAAGCATCAACAAATTTTACACATAGAAGGTCCCAAACGTAGCCATGGCACGCTGGTGTCCCGTCCGGGGTTGGCAGCCTGTTCCCCCTCAGGATCGCCCGAAGAGGATGAGAAACTGGATGGATGAATGAACACCACATAAGGGATAAAATGAGACCTAGATGGACCCCCTGCACCACTGATCACTGATGAGACACAATGCAGGGCATGGACCTAAAAACCACATGTACAGGTGAGTGTCTGTCCGAGGAAAAAAAAAAAAAAACAAACATTTGAAGCCGTCCTCACTTCACCAAATCGATACCCCTTCCATAAATGGTGCTCGTATTTGCTTCACTTCTTAATTGCAAACTCTTATCAGGCCACTGATAAACAGACATCCAGAGGATTAGGGCAGTTAGTAAAATCATAACATCTCATTAAATCCCCTGTAACTTTCTTTTTGCTTTTTAAATCAAAAACTTATTTGTGTAGAATCCCTTTCGATCAAATAAAAGTAAAACCATGGTGAATTAGCATGATAAGTCTTATCAAGCTAACAGGCCTTTGACTGAGTGATCAATTTTATCCACAATTATGGTCAGCAGGAAAATAACTGTTTATCATGAAAGAAAATCTAGATAAGATTGTAATTGTATGAAACGTAACAAGGAGGTAAACATGGCCAAAGGTGCCATGCGCTCCAAAGTCACCTGACTGCAAGCCTTTATCACACCATCCCACCTGCTGATAAGAGGAAGGGTCTGGGTCAGAGGTGTGCCAGATGCTAATCTCTTACAAAGAATTCTGGGAAAAGAGAAGTCAATGTCAAATGTCAATGTTGCAGAAGTCTTGCAAAGTGCACAACTATGAGCAAAGCAGCATGTAAGAAGAGCCTTCATTTCTCACCTTAAGATGGCATATGAGGGCCATACAGCACAACCAATAACCCACAGTAGGGCTGGGCCATGTCATATTGATATTATATTGTGCATGTGCAATAATTACTAGGGTTTCAGATGACAGGTGAAACATTTGGCCAACTTTTCTGTACAATACGGACATTTATTTACGCCCACAATTTGAAAAAAGATTGGTAGTAAGGCTAAAATATTAATAAGACATTTTATGATACCCAAAAGTTAGTCAACTGTATAAATTTGGCCTATCCTTACATTTAAATGATGTGTCAGACTTTAAACTGCAAGAAGTACCGCCACACAACCAACGTCTTTTTACCTTGTTTATGCACAAGATCTCTTCTTTTAAAAGATACTGTGGCTGCTGAGCTGTTTCTTTCTTCACTGCCACTTCAGTGTGTATCACTGAATCACACTAAAGTATACCAAACCATAGTATACCAAAACAGTATTAATAAACATAAAAGTACGCCAAGTTTATAAGGATTACTAATTTTTAGGTGTCACAAATACATCTAATTCATATTTTAACTGTACTTCTAATCTGCTTAAGAAATTGTGGGCTTAAATAAATGTCTGCATGGTACCGAAAAACTGGCGTCCGATCAAATGTTTCGCCTGTCATCTGAAGCCCTGATGATTATTGTACATGCGTGATATAATATCAATATGATATTGCCCGGCCCTAACCCATAGCCTCCATAGTTTTTTTTAGACTACAGTTTATTTCTGCAATCTCTTGCAATCAGTCCAAAGCAACCCAATGCTGGTAGTATTAGATTTCTGAGCAGCTATTTGCAGGTGTTATTCCCAGGACTGTGTTTTCTGATACCTCTCATTCATTCCTGCGCTTAATTTTTTTTTATATATATATATATATATATATATATATATATATATATATAGGACCCCATGCGCTGTGTTAAATTGTGGGCTAACTGTGAGAAAACACTGGATGCGTGGGCGGCGGCCCAGTGTGGAGCCAGGAACCTTAATACCCACAATGCCGACGGCCAAGGAGGACCGGAGGAGTCCAAAAGGTAACTGGACTTTGCAGCACCTTTCAACCTGCAGGGGTGAGGAAGTTTTACTACTGCTAAGAATCACATCTGGCATGGAGTCCGTCAAAGACATACAGTACTGCTTTAAAAAGCCTTCTTCTTCAGCGCTGTGCCAGTAGACTTTCTTCCCTGAATTCCCTTTGCCTTTTACATAAATGACAGCAGAATCAGCGCACCGCATGCCAACATTCCCCAGATCATACCATCTTTTCTCGGGGGTGTCTGTAGCCCAAGAATTTGTTATGCTGTGGACTAGGACATCACCTCGTGCCATTAATTAGGCTCTGGGATGTTAGACGTCAGGCAGCGCTCCTTCCCAGAGGGATAATGCAGCCCAGCGTCTCAGCTCACCTCCCACGCGGCACGCGCTCAATCAGCCTGGCACGTCACCCATCCTGAACGTTTCCCTACCCAGCTTAATAAGGCTTCAGCACCAAGCGAGCCGGATCCAGCGGAACACGGAGCCCGAGGAACCAGACACACGTCAGCCTTTATCAGGCATGTCTGTCGCCTCCTAACATCTCGTCTGAAACATGCAAATGAGACAACAAGCTGAAAGATGAATTTTGATGTCACGTTTGCAGAATTCGGTTTGAAACATATGCAGCCAGGTTCTGCTGATGATTCATCCCTAAGAAATCACACCACGTAGAAAAATTCCTTCATCTGATTCCCATTGGTCATCTGCAAAGTTCTCGGCTGCCACCTAGCCCTTAATTTCACTATCCTTCAAAGTGTTGGGTTTCAGGCATATCTGAGCATCATATCAGTATCTACTCATACAGGTAAACAAGCCAAAGACACCAATTCACTGGAATCACTGCTGCCCTAAAAATGACAAAGGGTGAAGAGAGAACTTAAGGGAGAAGGAAGAATGGGCCTAAGCATTTGGGTGGTTAGAAAAAGTGTACCATCTGTACAGAGAATTTTCTGGTCCACCTTTTATAGTCGGACAATGCCTATTGTGGTATGAATGTGTATTTTTTTGGTCTTCAGACACCTCGATTCATTAAGCAGACTTTACGCTGCTCTCACCGCCAGCTAAGGGACGTTTGCTAGCTCAGTAAATCAGGTGTTCCGTCCCCCGGGAAAGCAGTCAGGTCAGTAGTTTTGGGAATTACCACTGCTTCCGCTGGGATGCGACACTTTTTTCTTGCGAGTTCTGCTGAATTTAATTTATGAGGCAAAACTAAAAATAAGATTTTTTTCTCAACCAGAGGTGGGTGGGGTGATTTTTGATAAGATCCTAACATGTTCTACCCTGTCATCACATGGGATGCGTAGCATGTGGGCACAGAAGATATGGGGAGCTCCAGCAGTACCAGAGAATTCCTCGGAATCTGAAGCCATCACTAACTAGGACAGACCATGAATCAATGCTGCCAAGCCTCTTACAGTTTAAATGTATTGCCAGTACGCCGATTCCTGTGCAAGGTTACCCCACATAGTACTTACAGTAAATGCAATGAACACATACCAATGATGTCATTTAAGCAATTTAATATAATTCCACATGCATAAACAAATGCTTGAAAACCCCAGAGAGGGGGGTAAACTGCACTGATCTCAGTAATCACTCTCAGCTTATCCCTGCTATGAAATTATGCAGGGCGCAGCATAGCCCAGAAGGTTTATGGGTTCGAGTCCCAGGAGGGACCTCACAATACCCTTCAACAAGGTACTTAACCTAAATCTCTGCAGCTGTACGAACATGTAAATCTGTGAGCCTGATCACATTCAGGCACCAGCCAGGTAACAGAATAATACTAGAATTGTTCATTTCCAGCCTGTTCTGTGGCAGAATTCCTCACTGCCGCTGTTTTACATAATTCAGGTGACTCCCTGGCACAGAAACATTAATATCACACACCTAAAAACGAAAAGTGATAGAAGATTTTATCTAAAGCTAAGTATGCAATACACAGTGTTCATATTTTACACAGCGTGGAAATGTAAGAGACTGACACTGCACACATCTCCATGAAGCGATTGAAATTTCCCGGTAAATTTTATTTTCTTTTTAATATAAGTTATATAGGAAGTGTTCTGCTTGTGATACACTCTTGTTTGGAATCGCTAGCAGCCATCTTGGTGGTAACAGATTTCCGATGCAGATTTCTGAGTCTTTTTCAGGAATTCAAACACTGAAAGGGCGTCATCCGGCGTGTAAATGCTCAGAATGACTAAATGTGCCTTTTATTCCCACTTCCTTTGTGCCCTTTTTTATTGCAGAGAAAGGACCCTGCTTCGTGGCTTTTGTGACAGCCTGCTGGGTGGTCACATGCCACTCCGGAGTTCAAACTATTCAGGCGATGAGAAGGAAGTGGCAAGAAGTGCAGAGCAACTGATAAACTATTCAAAGAAGCGCTTACCTTGTTTTAGAAAAGCTACGTTCTCTTATGATGTAAAAGGAACACAAACAAGAAAAGGGTTTAAAAACGTTAAAAAAATTTGGAGTGGCTACCAAGCTGAAGTAATAACATCTCCCACCCAGCAAAAACTAGTTGAAAGGACATTTAAAAGACATCTCAACAAGGCTGAGATATGGTTAAAAGAAATCTTTTTCAGGTTCCTGAAAAAATGTCAATGTCAATGCGACAGCTTTAATATATTATATCATATTATCATTATCATTACTTATAGGTGCTGACTGCTGTTGCACGCGGCAGATGTTAAAAGAGGATAAAAGGGAAAAAATGACATGCAACAGGTGTGACAGTGGCTGGAAAAGGGGACTGTCTACAACACTACGCACTACTTCATTGAGATTTCACACTTTCTACAATGTAATCTTATTTTCATTACTATTATGGCTATATGTGGTTCTTACAACACATTATGTTATAATGCTGGATTATGTAAACTCTACAAAATGTAAGATTTTCATCACATTACTATTATTGTTATTATCATTATTATTATTATCGTTATTACATCATCATTCAATTTGTTACATTCTGTCAAGGTATGACATAATGCAGCATTATTACATAATGTGCTGTTACATTGATCCAAAACAGACACCCATCTTTGGCTAAATTTGAACCAAATCAAATCAAATTAAATACAGCCCAATTTTCAATTATTATTTTTAGTGTAAATAAAGGCCATGACCGGCCAACCAGAATCAGCCCCCAACAAACAATGTCCCATGGATATCTGGTGCTGGGTGGGCCTGCTCCTCCCTGCCTTGCCATCTCCCTCCTTTGGTTTTCCACCAGAAAATCCCGAACACCCACCCGCCCGCCCCCCACGTTTTATCCATGCTTCCCCATTCATTCTCGTTCCCCTGTTCTTCCCACCAGCCCATCCCAGTCGCTTGTTCATATTTGCTGCTTTTTCATCAATCCCATGGAAGTGCGGGCCCAGCAGCACGGCGCATCGAGCTAACCGCATCAACGCGCCATGGGACCTCAGACGCCAGCACTCTGCTCTTTTCACAGTGTGCCTTTTTATGCTGATCTTTCCAACAGGGCCCAGACACTCCAGCTCCAGCACACTCCTGATTGAGTCTAAAGGGAATAAGAGGCCCGCAAAGCAGAGCGGAGAGTGGCCGGGCCCAGTGAAGGCAACCCTAGTGCTAGGAGCAGAACATCTTGGCTGGGAATATATCTGAAATACTGTAATTTTTACCAAAACCTGGACCTGTTTTGTAAAAACGTTTTTTTCTGGAGCAGCACCATCATTGACCCGTGAGACAGGAAAGGATTTTACCGATCCAGATGCAGGGAATCAGGCCAAATCTGGGCCAGACTGTTATAAAAGTCAGACTGCTAGACTGGTGGTAAACACCTGTCAACAATATGATGTGGCACATCTCTCATAATGGACTGATAATCAACACCATAAACTGAAGCTAAACACAAATTAAAACATGGTGTGAGGCCTGATATTTAATTTTTTATTTTAATCATGTCGGCCTTAACAGGCATCAAAGCAGATGCCTCAGTGGTGATGCTGGCTCCACAGGCCCCCAGACCCCTGACTCACCCATCACTGCCAGCGCCGTGGCCTTGGTCAGCACCGCCCTTGCGGACCCCAGCACCTCCAGTCCGCTGCCATCCAGGTTGCATCTGTTGATGGTCCCATTGCCGGAGCTGATCCAATATAGCTTGTGCGCAGCATAGTCAATAGACAGACCTGAGGCGGTAATCAAGCCCCTATTAATGGTGACGTCACTTCCACGACATGTTAAAATGACCAGAACCATTACAAAAAAAGCAAATCCTGAATGTTAGCTAGGAACCTGTACAGCAAGAGCTATCACAATGACATCATGACATCATGTGCCATCAGAAACAGCATCAACCAAACTGCTAATTTAGCAAGTGAATTCCTAGTGCTTAGAAGCTCGGCCAGCATTACCCCCCCTGTTCCTCCCCCTAGCTCTTCCCCAACTTCCATCTGCTCCCTGCTGATTTCAAAGGTCCGGTCATTAGTCTTGAAGGACCTCCAGCAGTGCTATCTCCGCGTGCCTGCCTAGCCAGCTCATACCACCTCACTCCATACCCCTCCATTTCTAAGTGCTATTTGTAAACCGCTAAGAATCGCACCATCTTAAAATCCCACACACTTTAAATGTTAATTCTCTGACACTATCTGACACTAATGCTGAGGCCCGCAGTGCCATATGATGATGTCAGGATATTTAGATTATACGCTATATTTATACAGCATCCTGGCTCCAGTTATTTACAGGTTACACTAAAGAATACATCAGCTTACAGATGATAATTAGATTAACATATCATTGTGTTTTAGGGTACATTTAGAATTGCTAATTTAGTTTAAAAATAAACCTGTTTGAATAGCACTCAGCATGATTACTTTATTCTGCTTTTATTAATTTTTTCTCTAAATCCAGCATATTCTAAGTCTCTCTGTCATCCTAATAAATGCTGGCAGTTGAGACGAGACGTTTGACCAAGGATTTACCCGACTGCTGAACACAGAAGACGACCGCTGGCATGAAGGCTGAAGGCGGGTCGCCGCGGTAACACAGTGAAAAGGCAGTCATCTAATCTTTTGTTTCCCACATGAACTACGTCTTATTTACAGCTGCACTCCAACAGTCAAGGTCAGATACTCCAGTGAATTGCATCCACATTTCTACATCTTGCGTCTTAATAGCAATTTCCGTTAATAAAGGCTTGGTTCCTTTGTAGAAATTTACAGCATAGACTTGGGTTGGCAAAGAACAAACAAAAACAAGGTCAATGTGCCAGAGAACCTAACAATCTGACCTTGAGCTTTACAGCAGGAAGTGAGAAAAAACTCAACTAAATAAGTATGGGCTCTCATGGCTCTGCTAAAGGGCTAAAGCTAGCTGACTGGCTGCGAGAAGCGACCCAGTGTAGGAGTGGTCTTCACTGACCTCATTATATAACATGCTCAGATATCACAAACAGAGATGCCACATTGGTCTGTGGAAATTAGCAAGTGGTGGTTCCTGAGGGAGACAGGCCCCTTGGATTAATGGGTAATTAATGGGATGGCAAATCATCACCATGAACTCACTAAGCCCAAAGGGGGTCAACTACTAGGCAGGAGGGCACATCAATTTGGGATGACCCCTGCATCTCTGGCTAGGGCGGAATATATGGTAAATGCCTTAAGGGAAAGTGCTCTGGGAATGTGTTGAGATTTACCAACTGGATCCCTCTGGTTCTGGTGCAGGATCTTGCTGTTGCTTCCATCCAGGTTTGCCATGTTGATCATGTTGCCGTCAGTCCAATACATTTTCCTAGAGCACATAGTAAGCCAAAGTCTGCAAGCATTTCACACTTATTCTCAAATACATATTTTGTTTTTTGCTTTTCCCGCAGAGCAGAGGATGTGTTCCAGTACAAACTGGCAGTGAAAATAACAAAATGGAGTGGATGTGGGTGGTCTTCACTGCACGTGTAAAGCAGAATTTCCCTCAGAGTATTCATGTGCTGGCTTCAAACAAAATGGCCGACAGTTAAAGGAAACGGCTCTGTATATCACAGCACACTTGCGCTGTGGTGACTTGCCAGAAGAGACTCTGTAAGCATGCACCAGGCATTTCATCCATGAGAGCTGTTTTTATCAAGGAGCCATTTCCAGAAGGTGCCATCGATTGGCCCCATCGATCTGGAGCGTTGCTGCTCAAAGCCGTTTTGCTATCTGATGATGCTGCGCACCCCCTCCCCCCGTGTTTCAAAGCAAAGCCCCATTTAGGGGTCGATTTAGCTGACAATCACCTATAACAGCCCAATCTTCCCCTCTGTTTCTTGTTCAGCATCTGCTTTGCTGTGCATCAACTTTCTTTTGTGGTCTTGTGCTAGTATTTACATCCAGATTAGTTAGCCTTGCTCAAGGGCCCAAGTGTGATATAACTCTACCATACAAGGAATTTGAACCAGTGACCTTTCATTCACTAACCCAGTGTCCCGACCAACTGAGCCACAGACCAACCCACTACTGAAGTATTTGTCACAGCCAAGAACTGAACTGAGAATCCTCTGACCCTGAGTCAGCACTGGCCAAATCATTGTACTTAAAATATGGGGTTTGCAGACAGTGTTCCACAATGAAGTACACATGGAGACTCTCACCCTTTGGAAGGATGCACGACTAGACACTTGGGCTTATCAATTCCATGGACGATGGAAGTCTTAAGCGAGCCGTCCATGCGGGCCACGTTGATCTGCGTCTCGTCATTCTCTGAGCTGATCCAATACATGTTCCGCGACAGCCAGTCGACAGCCAGGCCACGGACATTCAGTATGTCTGAAAGGAGCACAAGCATCATGCGTCATCGGTGCCAGAAGGCCACCACTGGTCTGCGACAGATCTAACGCTGTGTTTGACCTTTCAAAGCAGCAGACAAGTTTATCTATCTCTGCTTCTTAGATGCTAAGCATGCTGGGCTAATATTTACTCTTAAAATGAGAAAGCTACGAGCATGGGTTCATTTCATTTCAAGCCGGTTTGACAAGCTTTCATTCACGTGCAAACTGCATGTACATCAGACATAGACACAGTCTTCAGACAATATGTGAAGTGTACTCTTAAATTAATCTAGAATACCAGATCCCGGCTGACCAGAAAAAAGGGCAGTGTCCTAATCCAGCGATCAATTGAGCACCAACTCAAATCGACCAGAGATGGAACACGAGAGGAATACAGATGAATTCTCATATCTATTTTGTTGGTATGGTCTCAGTACCAGTCAACCCCTACGGAAAGTTTGCTGTCCAGTACCTCCAGATATGACTGTCTCCATACTGGTTCCATTTATGAAAGCCCGCTTTATGGTCTGGGTTTTCACGTCGGCCCAATAAATCCTCTCCTCCAGGGCATCGTAATCCACGACTGTGACATCATCAATGTCTGGGACAGTCAGGGCGGTTATGATGTTTATGTAGGGGTTATCAATGTCCACACCACGGATTTCGGAGCGCCGGGCATAGAGCAGGAACCTCTTCAGTGCTGTTCCGGGCAAGAAGGACAGATAAGACACATAAGTATTAATTTGAGGCTCTCTTGCAGAGTGAGCTCTGAGATAATCTTTAATTCTGCACCACTGTGATGAAGAACAATGACACCTGTGTGACTCACGACGTCCAGACAATGGGAAAGCAAAGCAGATCAAAGAGACGTTCATTAAGATACGAATGGCAGGTTTGTGAGACTGACACTCTGGAAGTTATCGCTGGTCATGGAAATTACAAGCAGACACTATGTTATTGATGCCATAGACAAATTCATGCCTGAATAGATTATTCAGAAGCCACTTTGATAAAGTCTTATGCAAAACATGCAGCTGCATAACAGATTTTCCAAGTCAAGCCCTACTTGATAAGGATAAAGTTGTACTCAGTTTATTTTTTTGTCTGAATAGCTTGAGACCTGGGGTCTCATTTATCAAGCGTGCATTACGAACAGATTTGTGCGTAAACCATGTGTATGTGTAGAATAGTATTTATCAATTTGCTCCTGTGAGTAGAAATGTGAATATATTTAGGAGCACTCCAGATCATGTGCACACACAAACCCCAAGTGGCAGCGAAGTGTAACTGAAGCAAACAGAATGGCACATAAGATACACAATCTAATTAATTATCAACCTTGACAAACAGAATAAACGTTATGTTCCCACAACGAATGCCCAGACAAGGTTATGTTTATGACACGGAATTGAGGTCCATGGCCACAGAAATAATGTTTCACTGTCACTAAATAGTCTTATGTCAAGATACACCTGATCAAGATACATGTCCAATCACATTTACATTTGAGATCCATAGTAAATAATATACACTGATCAACAGACACTTGAAAGCAGATTTAGTAGGTTGTTAGCGTTAATCGCTTAGTGTAACAGGTGCAGGAGAATGGAATGCGCTGCCAATCGTATAATGACCCACAATCCATATCCAACTTGTATGCACACAGTAATGTGATAGACAGCTACAACAAGCAGATGTGATACATATAAAGTATGTGTACTGTGCTATTTCGTTACATAAAAAGTAAGTTACTGTACTGCACCATAAAACATTTCTCCTCAGTTTCTTCTTTCTCAGTTGCCATTGTTTGCTGCTGTGCACATCCTTTGATTTCATAGTGTCTCGTGCCTTATTTTTCATCACATTTAATTGAAATCTCTTTTTATTATAAAGTGCTGTGATTTTATATTATTTGCTGTAGAGTACTGTGTGTTTATTGTACAGCATTAACTGCATGTGTTTCCTGTCCCTATGCTAGGTCCTTCTCTTTCTTTGACCAGTTACTAGTAAAGTTGCCAAACAATACCTATTTTTTCCTATTATGTCCAGAAAAACTTCCAGCTCCACCTTTCTCCTTCCATTTCTCAATGAACTCCCATTTTTCGCCCCTTGGAATGTATTTTTTTTTACTTTATTTTTTAATAGAAAAATACAGTAATACAACAACAATACAAGCAAATAGTGCAAAATAAAGGAACTAAAGGAATTTTGTCAGCACAAGGATTCTGTTTCTGTGCCATGTTGTGCAACGCAGTTTGATGTGTGTTATAAGGAAGTTATACTATATGCCCAAATTTGAGTCATTGGGGGTGTTTATTTAAATTAGTCTTGCCGTGCACACAGAGTCACATTTAGAATGTGTGAGATTTATCAAATTCACTTCGTATGGCTGTTTGTACGCACAAGTGATAAATACCAATTTGCCTGTGAGTACCAGTGATTCCTACGCACACATTTAGGAACTGTCTTATACGCACGTGGATAAATGAGACCCCTGGCCTAAAAAATGCAACGAAAACACTAACTTCCACAAAACAGAGGAAGTCACATGGACATGCGGCCAGCGTGATTAGCTCCCTAATTTATAACTTGCATATCTAAATATTTATTGTCATTATTACAGCCCTTTCCTATAAATATGGCTCCACGGCCAAACAGCAGAGAGGACAGATGACGAGGGGTGACAATCAGAAAGTGTCATTGATTTGCTTCCATGGAACTGTAGCCGTGTGAAATGCACAATCCTTCTGAAAACATGAAGGCACGTTGCAATTCACTGGCTCGAGTGGCGACACGGCAGGAGAAGGAAGCGGCAGTGCCCTTGATTTAGCAATAATAATGGAAATAGCTTTTTATTCAAAGGCAGCTGCACTCTGGTTGGCTTAGAGAATGACTTCACCCTGCATATTACAGCCGGCATATATTAAGAAGCAAAACCTCTTTGCCTTCAGAGCCCTGCCAGTTCTGAATAAATTACTTTCCGTCTCATTGTGATATGAACACATTTATTACTGCTAATCGGCACCCCCCCCCCCCCAATGACCTTACAGTTGGCCTGACAGGTCTATCCCTCCCACACCTGACTGACATTGCGAAAGGGGGGTGGGCTGAGGGGGTGTGGCCTACTCACCAACACAGGACCTGTTGCTGGGGGAGAGCTTCATGAGGTGGGGGCAGGTGCAGGCTGCAGTGCGGTTGTAGCCAATGAGGCACAGGTGTGAACAGCGGCCATGGCCCTGGTTTGCCTCACAGGGGTTCGAGGCTGGAAGGAATAAAAAAATCCATCTGTCCATCCAAAACAATTAACAGTGTCAGGGTCACAGGGAGCTGGGGGTCACCCTAGATGGGGTCACCCTGGATGGGATAACAGGCCATTCCTGGGCACTTATATGCACACATTCACACACGATGGGAAATTTAGAGACAGATTTGTCAGACTACATGACTCTGGACTGCAGGAGGAAACCAGATGAAACCCACAAGAGGGAACAGGAAAACTCACACACACACATGTTTATATTCATTTTTTTCTGGGAACTGTCCATTAATTTCTATGGGCATAACCCTAATTCCAACTATGACAACCTTAACCCCTACCCAACCCTACCCTTAATCATAAGCATCCAAACAAAATACAAGACTTTTGACATTTTCAGTTTTTGATTGGATTTACAGACACACACACACACAGCAGAAGTGGAATTCGAACCCATCACCCTAGGAGTCTCATACAGCAGTGCTGTCCACTGAGGCACTGTCCTAAAAGGACTGAGAAGGGGACTTTCATGAGCAATCAGTTGATGAATCAGACCTCCAGTCTAACACAGAGTCAGTCCCCAAGACATCACTGAATTACAGTCTAACGAAAGAGGAAGAGCCTGCAAGCAGCAGAAATGAAACGTTAGGCTGTCACTAATTACATCATTAAACAGAGACGGAGTGGCTATTTGTACACAGAGATGAGAGACTAAAGATTTTTATGCTGAATGGCTGAAGGGAAAAAAAAAAAAGACGGCCTTCACCGTAACAGAGAAACGCTGCAATTTCCACAAGATGCATTGGTTGCCCTCGCCAGTCAGGTGGCGATCAATTCCAACCCTCCCTCCCCCCCCCCCCCCCTACCAAATGCAGCCCAATGCAATACAGCAAATGAAAATAAAAGCATGATTCCCTGTAAAAGCTCCTGGTCGGGGTGGGGGGGGGAGGTGCACAATATCTGAGACTATAACCCCCATTCATCAGTTCCCAAATGCCAAAGTGTCCATTTCCACAGATCCCATAGAGTCCAGTGCCATGTGTTTACTGTAAGCACCTTAAGACCATGGTGGGGAAAGATACAATATACAACAGTTAGGTCATTTTAATGAACAGAATATAGCCTCACAGAAGCATGCTCTCAGAAAATACCACAGCCGCAACTCAAACACAGCTTGATTAAGAATATGCCCTTTGGAACAAGATTCATTTTTGGGAAATCCAATTAGAAGTTCTGTATTTATTTTTTTAGCTGAATAATTTGGTAATATTTCCCTGCTCTGGCTGAGAGATCAGTAACAGCAGGGAACAGCATTTCTTGTGAGCAGAGGCAGTCTTGTGTAAAAAATGTCTTTTAGGTTTTAAAACAACAGTCCCTGGGTGTGTTGCAGAAACACATTTTTCTTTTCTGCATGTTCAGTTAGGCTATAATAATAAAGCAGGTGAAATGATGATATCCGTGTCTCTTATCATATTCATTTCTGACAGTTTATTAAAGATCTTTTTCCACCTTGCATTTTTTTTATTGTGATATATTGAAAGTCATATCCAAATTTGGGAATCAAGGCAGAGAGCAGACTGGAGGTAGAATTTGCTTTGTTTTTTGCTGTGTACATTAAGACATCGTGCGCCCAGATGTGCTGATTTCCTAGCTGCCACACTTGAACCACTCAGCATCAGCATCCTCACTTTTTTCAACGCTCCCACCCCATCACTATGGCACAATTTAACAAGGCAGATGCGACTGGCCCTGGCTCCAGGAAAAACGTCACTGTCCTCTCCTCAGGCATCACCCTAAGCACAGGGGGACATTTCCCTGTCCCCTCCTTGTTTGTGTCATTGGTTGCTACTTACAGTATACCACCCATACTGCTCATCTTATTTTGCTGAAGGTTCCTAAAACAAATACCATACTTTGTTAGTCATCATCTCAAGCCGCAAAAATCTGCCAAAAACCCTAAAACTGGATAAGCTTGTTTCAAAGTCCCATTTCAAGAACTCAGTTACGAATATTCTCACTGATACTGTACATGCAATTGTTTTTTTAACTAACACTTGCTTATTGCTTATTGTACATTGTTGCCCCATGTATGCCTCCACATTACTGCAGTCGATTTTGCTTTATGCTGGCTTTGTTTGTTGCTGTTGTTTGTTAGTACATGTGTATTTTACACCACTTTTACCTTATTTCTGGCCCTTCCCTCCTTTTTCTTTTTTCTTCAAGAGGCTCTTCCTTTTGCCTAACTGTCATTGAAAATAAAAAAAATTCTTATTGACTTGCCTGGTTAAATAAGGTTTAAAAATAATAATAATAATAATTTCCTAGTGAGCATCCATCCTGGTAATTCAGCCACAAGGCAGTAACGTGCCCCCAGACAATGTCCCTCAGAAGATCAAGGCACTCCTCAAAGGTGAAACAGAATGAAAACCTGACTGTTACCTTGGCATAGTTGACTGAGTTCAGTACATGAAACTGACATACAGTGAAGTATGGCTGCCACTAACGACTATTTTTCTATAGATTAATCAGCTCAGCAGCCACAACATCTTTTTTAACGGAGGAGATATTGCGGTTCAACAAGGTAAAAGATGTTGGTGGTGTGTTGATACTTTTTGCAGTTTAATGTCCGACACGTATTTTTGTATAGTTTTCATTTTTATGTCAGTTCACAAATTATTTTCTATTTAGTGTCTGCTTTCACTTCTTATTTAGTTTACAATAATAATAATAATAATAATAATAATGGCACCGTCAATCAATGTTGAATAAGACCAGATTCTACGTTAAACATATTCTCAAACACTTATTCAATGGAAATTCTAAGGTAGCAGGCAGACAGCTTTATGGCTTTAATACTGCGTGTATTTAGCAACTGCAAGGACAAATGATATTATAAAGCTCTCCGTATTAATGGTAATTTAATGAACATGAGGAGGCAACACCTACAGTGGGTTCCCTATTCTGGTGGTCCAGAATAGTTCCTGTGTGTTTCCTCTTCAGGTGCTCATGCATAGCACCAGTGCCGCTGTGGTATGTTTCTGAAACCTTGCACAGCACACAAACCACCTTTTGTTTTGTGATGATTTGAACTACTCCAATATTTATGGAATGATATTGAAATAAAAACATTTGATATAATGAATTTAGCATTTTAGAAATCAAAAAGGTAATTTTATTGACATAATTTAAAAAGATACATCGATTTAAAATATTGACGTCGTCACATTTTCAGCGTTGACGTAATCGAATATGTCGACTTTATCGCAGCAGCCTTACTTTGAATTACAAACATTGTTCTTTACTCTTTCAAATATAATTCCCACAAATGTAAAAGAAGGTAGCAAAACAGACTGACTGATTCAAAGACCTTAGACTGTCATGAAACAGTGTTAAATACACCCCCAACTTAACACACACCCGCTCACTTCAAGCCCAATAGACCTGCACAACCTGCAACATACATTTTCTCTCGAGGGGCATGCGTGCACAGTCTCCACAAGTGCACCCGTCATGGAAAAATATATATATACTGTCAGCTATTGATGTAAGGTTATTTATTACTAGTAGGCTAAGAAAGTCATACTCAGGGGTATGTTTCCCAAAAGCTCCTGTTAGCAACTAGGCTTTTGGAAAACGTACCCCAGGTTAGCAGAGTAGTAAACAACATTACAAAGTCTATGATACTGAGATTGACAAAAACAAAATGCTTCTCTACTGCCTGTAGCATGCTTTTGGGTAGCTAAACCATTATGTAATCTATACTGAAGTAAAAAAAAAATGAAACCAGAATTCCAAATTTACACATTTACAAGCTGCTCAACTTGCTGACACTGGCATCCTAAAATAATTTTTTGATCAACATGCTTATAGTAATCATGGTTATAGTGATCAGTCGATTATATGGATCAAAAGGTTTGAGACAGAATCATTCCTATCCTTTTTTTTATTTATTTTACTTTACTTTGATAAGCCTACTTTGCCTACTGTGTGTTAACCCATCTGCTTCTGCTAGCTCCCTGAGGCTAATGCTGCATGCACAGAAAACATGACGGGAAGAAGACAGTCATTTTCCCTCAATGACATATATAGACTCATTGAAACTTACGATAAATCAACAAAAACTAGCCACCGAGATGCAATGGCGAAACTACAATAAGCTGATTTTATGTACAATATTGTACTGTATTGAAGTGCAGAGCAGACCGAGGAATTGTGGTGATGGCTAATGAAAACGACGAGAGGTGGACTGACACAAAGTTGTTCTTTATGTTACTCCTTAAAGGGACCCCACAACAAGCAACAATAACACGAAAGCCATAAATGACAGAGAAACAAGGGGAAATTACACTAAGTAGGGTAAGGCACACACACGGTGGGTAATTTCGCAAAGGCTAAGACACGTGTGGATCAGCTAAGAACTGAGTAGAACCACAATTAAAGGCACACACAACAACCAGATACACAGCACAACAAATACCTACACTAAAAAACACAAACAGGGGCTACATACATGCACTCACGAGGCATGCTGGGACATCCAGATGCCACCGGCGCTATAGTGTTATAGCATATTTGAATTATACATAGTTTAATTAGTACAGTACAGTAATTTGAAAAGTGTTTGAAACAGCTATACCAGCGGTGGCCAATCTTATCCGCAAAGGGCCGGTGTGTATGCAGGTTTTTGGGGTAACCTTTAGGTCAGCTGTTCAAACCTAGGTGTGAGGACTCCTCAGCCAATCAGTCCTCTAATTAGTAATATAATTAGGGAGCTGCAACGAAAACCCGCATACACAGCGGCCCTTTGCGGATAAGATTGGCCACCCCTGCGTTACTGTATTTTGAAAGAGTCAATAAAATTCTGTAATTCGCTGTAATATCACCTTATATTCATGCAACAAATATACAAATGTCAATTAGATGGAAATCTGCCAGAGACATAAAGGAAAAGGAAAAAAAAAATCTGTTATAATGATTATCCACTTATAGCGATCAATTTCACCCAG